ATCGGAGGCACATGCATCTCGCGGAGATGCTTTTACAACGCGAATAAAAAGGATTGTGCGAGTTAAGCTCCGAGAGTGCAAATAGATCCGAACGCAACTTTGTTGGTTGGTTAATTTCTGCTTAACTTTGAGCTTAATGGAAATTGCGGTTTAAAACCTACCTGCTGAGAAGTTTAAGTTAAAGTTGAAAGTAGAAAAGTCACAACGAATAAATATCGCTTAACGTTTTTATTAAAGGGAGAAGAGGAAAACCCATTTCAAATTCGTGACACAATCTAAATCGTAAAAATATTTTCAATAGATCTGAAATAGTGGCAAAACATTTTTCAGATTTTCATTGTATCTTTCTCTTACAAAGTTAGCGCCAAGTCACGCTTATAATTTATTACTGTGTTAAGAATGTCATGGTCACTAAAAAATATGATATGTAAAATATGATATATAAAAATATGAGATTTTTTTATCTTGTAAATCAATCTAGCACTTTGAGAAACGACAAATAATTGAGTGCAAAAATCTCAAAAATAAGACATTTTCTATATCGCACGCTTTTATCGATAACGCACTACTCTACTCGCGTGTCTGTAATATTGGCGAAGAAATAGATTTCACAGTATCTAAAATCACATACGTGACTGAATGGAAAGTATCGATAAACTGGAGATTGCAATCATCATCAACTAATATTTTTCTTTTGTGAATATTATACATAAATCTATTCCCTGTTATTCGATTTTTGAATGTGTGTATGTAATATATATCAGATAATTAAGAAATAAGACATACAGAGAAAGAGAGAGAGAGAGAGAGAGAGAGAGAGAGAGAGAGAGAGAGAGTTATTATTTTTAATATTAATGATTTTAAATAAACAAGAATTTACTGATAGATATAACAATCACACCCATTTTTAAATTTTTTAAAAATATATAAAGCGATATACTACATAATTCATATAATTAAAAATACATATGGATATTCATTAAGTCTAAAATTATTTTCGGTTCTATTCTAGACTCTTTCGTAATCGTCGTTTCGAGCACGTGTTCTTGTCATGTATCATAAGTTTCCTGTCAAGGTCGGCTTTCTGATCTTCGAAGTGAAAGAACTGTCGATTGTGTCATTTACGCAAGAGTTGCCTACGTAGTTCTTTTATCGTTTAAAAATAGACTCTAATAGTGAGAAGGCGGGGGAAGGACGCGTCTGTCACACGATTTTAGGCTACATTTGGATAATGGCAAATCAATACAGCAATATTGAAAAATATTTACGCAACCGCTGAGATTGTGATATAGATATACGGAAAGAACAATTTTGCTGAATCCAAATCTGAAAATAATTTTTGTTCAATAATCAAAATAATTTTGTGCGAAAGTCAAAGTGATTGCTAGAATATCAAAATGTTTTATAGCAATGCTTATTAGTTTTAACAATCTAACAAATTTTTTTGATGATTCAACAAAAAATTTTCAGATCTGTTTTTAGCAAAATTTTTAGACCTTTCAACAAAATCGTTCTTTCCGTGTACGATTTAAATATGTATACATATATATATGTATATTTTTTTCTTTAAGCAAGAGACATTTTAATATTTTAGAATTTAATTATATTCCACATTATCTTGTTTATGGTTGAGAAATCACGGTTTTATTTGAATAATTATGTGCCGTTTTCTTTAATGTTATAACTTGAAGGTAGATTGCGAAAACATTTAAAAATAAATGTGAAAAAAATATGAAAAACGTCCAAATAAATTTCCGTTAAGAAAAAGTGATCTTCGACATCGCCATCGAGAGAAAATTGTGAGTAATAAAGACGTATAGGAGACTCTCAAAGTAATCCGTACTCGGAATAAAAAATGTCGGGAGATACACGGCCTTTTCGATAATCATTAAAGATGCTTAAATTCTTAAGATTTCATTTCTTCCGACTTGCCTTTCGAGTTGAAAAAAAGAATTTATAAAAGCATTCGCTAATGTCTTTATTATGAGGAACATCGCTTCCGACAATCGTTGCGCCCGAGCTTTATGCTGTAATGTCATTCAACCTTGTTGCACGTACCGTAAAAAATTGCAATATTTATGCGGCGCGCGGAAAAGTGTCGTAAATGCTTATTTGCATATTCTCTAAGTGCATATGTGTCACCACGACACGTGCATTAAGAGCGTATGCAAATGGACCACTTATGATCAATGCGTTTTGTGCATAATGTATTCACGACATTCACAAGTATGCCTTATCTGCTCTACGAGGATGTCACGCGGATAAAGTTCTTCAATTTTCAATCGTCCACTCCTGCACAACTTTTCTCGCAATTCAAATAAACGTTAATATTACGGATTACAAAATCACACTGTGACTTGCTCGACTAACACGCTTTTCGTGTAATAGTATAAATGGGAAGAGTGTAATTATTTTTTTACGAGAGAAGTTGCAAAAATGTTGTGATTAAACTTTAGATATAAAAGATATTATAAATATGCACGTGACATGCACTGGTACTTCTTGGTTATATGTATATTATTTAAACCGCAGATTTTTAGAAAATTTTACCTCGTTCTGCAAAGTCGCGTAAGTTTCATTGTCAACGATTTTTACCGACGTAAGATCGTTCTTATGAATTCTGTGCGATACTTTCGACAGTTGATAAAACGCTTCGGTACTCGAAACACGATTCGATTAATATTTATCAATTCGCTATACTAACTTCAATCCTTTCTTTCGACGTTTTATTCTGAATATATCTCAATTTAATAAAATCTATAATTTTATCGATTGCACACGCAACGTATATGAAACATTATTCATTTAATTGCTGGCTATTTTTGTATCTTTTTAAACTAATTTTTACATTATTATTTTATTATATAACAATGTCGCGTACATAGTTGACGTACATATTAGACGCAAGATAGATATTATCTTCGACATATACACAAAGGGATAATCCCGGGCAAAAATCCTTGTAACACTTTAAATAGATAACGATAATCTTGTAAGTTCATTAAGGAAATGTTTAAATATAGACGGTGTGACGTGTAAAGCCATGTGAGAAGATATCAATAATAGAAATGTCCAAGCACGATAAGTTACGCGATAACGTGCAAAATGAGATATGATAAGGCACGATTCGCCTAATGATTAAAAAGAGTTAAACAAAAAATTACGCAAATACATTCTTATCTGCTAAAAATATTACAAATGAGCAATATTTTAACCGAAGCCTCCGCATATTAATAGATTACATTTTCCGTTTCTGATAATTGGATTTTCTTACCAGTGCTTTTATATTGAATTTAGCATCGATAAAATCTTTATAATATGATAACGTTGTTTAACAGCAATCTAACAGTAATTTAAAAAAAACACAATTAACTTTAATTATTTATTATATTATTATCGTCTCCACGTCGTATTTTATATTCTATTTTTAATTTGTATTATTATATGTATTATATTATAATTTTATTTATAATATGATATATATATATATATATAGTATATATATTACATACATACTATATACATTTACTATAATATAGTAAATATATTTATTACCTATTTCAAGTATTATAAATGGTAGTTAATCTATAATTGGTCTATAAAAAAAATTAATTATTTTTTTAATTGCATCTATTTTATTTTATAGATATGTATGTAATTAAAATAAATCTCATACGAAATCTTTTTATATCATGATTCATATCATCGTTTAGCATTAAGAGAAGGAATCGATTTTTAGAAATGAGAGAATCATAACTGTGATAAAACCCCTCGAAATGATTAATGTGCGGGATGTATCATCTTTCTCTCACGTCACTTCAAATATATTGATTATTGTCAAATTTATAGCGAACGCTTTAAAGCAACACTTTCCTTATCATTATGAGACAATTCGAAAGTACACGGAGGCAATGTATTTTTATCAAATTATTCATCGATAATTCAATTACTCTACAATATAAAATATAAAACAAAAATTTCTATAATGTATGTGGTGTGTATTTAGAAAAACCTTGGCTGAAAGCAATTTCTTTCTGTCGCGAATATAAGATGCCGATAAGATTCACACATATTAATTTCGGATCTGTATTTGATCAAAGTACGCTCGCGTTAAATTAACTGTTGAACAAATTATCTTATAAATATTAATTTTTAATTTATCGAATGATATATCTCTATTTTAAACTTTACGTGACTGCAACCATATGCTTTTCTAGAAAGACCGTGTATTCTTATCACAGATTTGTCATTTCAAGACAACGACGTTTATATTTAAACACTTGTTTACAGCACTTGGAGTGTCGTTGTCCACGGCTTGACCACTTAAAGCGAAGGTATGCGATAAATGTGAATAAACATGAAATGATGATTAATATTTTCTTAATTTGAATTTGATATTTCACGAGGAAGAATGGCAATGGAACATAATTATATATCGTTAAATGAATGAATATATATATATATATATATATATATATATTCATTCATTCATTTAATATATATATGTATATATATATATATATCGATAATTAACCCTTTTGATATTCTGACGAAGTTGTTTCACGAAAAGTTCTCTTTTTATAACAATTTTATTTATAAGCGTTGTTAAAAATAAATCCATTTATTAATTGACGTGTGACGTCAATGTGTTTTGCAATAAAAGCAACAAACAATTTTTCCACCTTTTACTTCTACATGATCAGTAAAAATACTCTCATATTTTCTATAAAGTTTATTTTAACTTTTCGTAGGGACTGTTTTATGTGCTTTTCACTTTTCTCTCGTATAAAATGAGGTTTTTATGTGGAATTTATTTTCTATTGTTTATCTTAAAATAATTGTATACGCAGGCGTATTTATTTAATTAAAATGGAATTTATTTTTAAAGCGTTTTCAATTCGATATCTTAATGAATTATTCTTTTGGTCTACCTACTTTGAAAAGCGTAGGACTTTTGGCTTAAATATCATAATAATTAATTTAAAAATAGAGTCACTCACCGCCGTACGAACTGCTAACGTGTTCTTTCAAGGCCTCCGGATAATCACTGGGGACGGTAGCTTCGACATCGAAAGTGCCATAAATAATGTTATGCTCCTTCTTGATGAATTCAACCATTGATTTCATCATAAGCTGACACGTATGTCTACCACCGACTTGACTCTGTCCGTTCGTTGCATAAATGAGCTGCACTTTACGCCACCTGTAGCTGATTCATAGAAAAGAAAAGGAAAATTTCGTTACACATTGCATCATCTTATCTTCTAGATCTTCTCTTCTCTTGCACACTTTGTTAATTAGTCATACTAATAATATAATTAGTTAATATCGCTAGCGATATTAGTAATATAATATCGCTAATGAATTGTCAATAATCTCTTTTGAAGAAACACGCAAAGATTAAATTTTTATTACATCAATTTAATATTTAATCGATAAATCGTTTTATATAAACTTTGAATCGTACGTACTGATCCATTATAGCTACAAAAAATTTGGCGATGTCCCTGAAAGCCAAACTTCCGATTCTTGTGGTCATAAAATATTCGTCTTTACAATCAACCTTTTTCTCGGTGAAGTCGTAAGTAAAGCCTCCCGTGGTAATTAACGGTGCCCCAAGAAACTTCACCACTCTGCCGACGACCGCTGAAAGAAAATTTTTGATCAATGTCATATGAAAACAGCACAAAATACAGAAAAGGAAATATACCAAACATTCATATTTTAATGATATGAAAAAAATAAGAAATTGTAAAGAGAGAATAATGTAACACAGAAATAGTAATTTTTCTAAAATGCGCTCATGCAGAATTTTGCAACTGCAATTAAATCATTTTGAAACATTTTCATGCGAAGAATTATGGAAATTTTAATGTAATACATCTGGAATAAATCTTGTATAATGAAATAGCTTTCTCCGTTTTGACGGATGTAATTTATATGTAGATTAATAAGCGACATAAGCGACAGCGACAAGATGTTTTAGGATAATTTATTTCCAGACGGTGGCAATTATTTTAGATGGAATTTGATAAAATTCAATAAAGGGATTCAAGGTGACGTACCGACGCAATAATCGCATGCCGGCCCGAGAAACAAGTGCACGCAATGCGCGTAGCTGTCGACCGCGCCGATTTGCGCGTACATCGCGTCGCAATGATCGTCTTGCGCCACGAACTTCAGTTTCAGCCAGTACGGTAGCAGATTCCGCGATCTCGCTTCGTACTCTGCTAAATCTGCAAAAAGAGAAAGACGATATGCCTAATTCAGTATTCAGATCCGAAGAAAGCTGAATTTGCAGTGCAGGTGACGCGCCGCGTGACTCGAAACTCGATTTCATTCAGCTCCGCGTATTTGTCGATCTCAGCATGCTTTACCCGACAGATGCCCGGAGTAGCCCCTTACCGAGGACCGGGAGGACCTTAGGCAGAGAGATATCGTATCTCGGGTCCGCCGGCAGGAGAACGGCGACCCTCAGCTCGCAAGAGACAACGCCGTCGCGGCTCGTGCTGCACAGCGCCTCGCAGTCGCGATGCAGCTGCACCTCGCGACACGTAACTTTGCCCTCGGTTTGACACATCATAAGCCATAAGATCGTCAGTGTGACGATCCTGCGGGGACCCATGAGTACGGATCGCAAGGCGACCTCGGATCAGATCGTCGCGCCGCCGGATCGAAAGTCGCGAAGCATCGTCGTCCCCAACGACGCGTCACCAACGTCACGATCACGATCACCCGATAAATATCTTTATCATCGCGAGAAGCGGCCCCACCATGTGCAGGATCCTGATTCATAAGATCACTATTTCATCGTCTTGCAATCTCGCGCCGCGGTCCTTGCGATTCATTCACGCGCGACACATTCGCGCTGCGCTCACTCAGGCTCCCTATATCGGGTTCGTCCGACCGTATCGCCAGCTGTTTCACTTGCCGCTTCCTTCCGGTTCAGCGAAGGATATCGCTTCACCAAGCGAATTATCCCCTAACGAATTACGTGAATACATTATTTCGCTGTGTTACCCGCCTTGTCTCGTACGATCGTACATAATATATCTTATTACAATACAACTATATACGAACAATAGATCGAGGCAAGTGAAGCTTGCCAATGAAATTGGTGAGAAATTTAATTTGTAAAATGATTACTTTTCTCGCCTTTGAAATCAGGGAATGCACTTCGGAATAAAAATTAAAGACTTTAGATTGAGTTTAAGTGAGGAGGAAGGAACCATTTCGAATTATTGACTTCGAAAATGAAACTTTACCGAGCGGACGCGTCTGTCAACTGCTTCTGGTTTTTTATTTTGTTACTTTTTTGCAGATCTCGTAAATAGCGTACGTGTGTGACGTCAACTGTAATTTGCCGTTTATCTGCTATTATCTGTTATTTCGAGAGGCGCGGAAGATCATTCGAAGATTACGGTAATTATAATCGAGCCGTAGTGTTTATCGGAGACGTAACGTATTAGTTTTAAAACTATTTAGATTCCATATCGCGAATAATTTTTAAAGCGGTTATCGTACGCGACATCTCGCCGAGCACTCCAGGAATTCTATCGGCGGTACCTATGTTGCGTACATGCAATACGGCGATCGCCGAAGGAAAATATTTACGTGCGAGCTGCTCATACGCGGAGCAACTATTGCCGAATCTAGGTCTGTCGACGTCTGTAGATTTTGTAGCCCGTCCGCGTCTCGCATTCGCGCCGGATGCGCATCGTTCCTTTGTCTCTCCTCGAGCTCCGTCGAGCACAAATCGAACGCGCGAACGCTCGAGGAGTCAACGTCGAGAGAACACACAATCAGGAGTACCGAGGCGACTAATAAAAAGGGAACGGCGCGAAAGAGCGGATTCCGATTCCGATTCCGGAAGTGTCACGCGGAACGCGCGTGAGATAGGGGGAGAGAGCAAGGGAGAGAGACACGGGCATCGCGATTCACAACGGGATTGTCGGAAATACACTGACACCTCACGATCACGCGACCGCCTTGTCCCGGTGACAAGCGAGCACTTACATACACACGCGTCTTTATCACGGATATCTCGCGTCGATTGATAATAGTTATCGAAAACTCCGATGTGCACACTCACTCGACTACCCCCTCCCACTCGGGTCCTCGGGGGGGTTTCATTCTATCTCGAGGGATCGAATTTCCGCGAGGGTTCCTTCCCTCGGCCTCGCGTCAAGTACGGCCTCGGAGGATTGTGTCCGGTGGTTGGTTTCTCCTCATTGTTCTCTGTCATTTTTCCGCTCGACGTTTCTTCTTCCTCCATCGGACATTTTTGCGTTTCCTCCATTTGGCTTCTTCCGATTGAATTTTCGTTCATTTTATAACGTCCGTATCAGGATTTTCCATTTGAGATTTACAATTACGGACTGAAATTTAAGAATGTCTGCCTGCATTTTGGTTGCTTGGTACTTCACGTGAGAGTAAAAAGTAAAAATTAAAATATACTCTTTCTGTGCCTCTTCAATTGTTACTGTAAAAAAATTAATTTTTAGCGCAAATAAAATGCGTTTATCGAGAAAGAAATAAAAAACGTACTTACGATTTAGTTTTGAATTTTGCGCAATCTTATTATATATTTTTTTAATACTTTAATAATTTTTATATGTAATAAAGTTAGAATTATTAATTTAATTAGCGAATAGGAAATGCCGGAACATTGCCGTATATAAAAAACATTTTGAATGATGCGCATAAGCCTCGCTTAATGATACAAAAAAAGACAAACGGAAGTCTTTTATTTGAATTTGAATTTTATTTTAATTTAAACATTATTAGAATTTAAAACGCATGTTAATATCTGAACATTTTTCGCGTATCTTTATTAATTGAAGTAAAACTATTAATTTAAAACTACTATTTTACCGCTTGATTTACTCTTTAATCAATTATTTTTTATTGCTTAATTTGTAGTGCAGTTTAAATTTATGTTACATTTAATTTTTTACATATTATACATATGTATTTAGTTATAAAATTATTATTATATTTAATTATTTTTTTATTTATATATTTAATTCTTCGTGTACGCGCCGAATTGTCAGATACAGAGTTTTAAATCACGGCGCTGCGTGCTGTATGATAAATGCCCGATCGATTACAGCACTGTGCGAGGAGTATCATTTTCCGGAACTACCCGACCTACTACACTTCTCCATCTCATCCTAGCGTACTCACAGTTTGTAGACCGCTACGCGGATGTTTTTGGGAACGTATTGTTGATTGGTGAGATACGCAACGTGCGTTGAGAAAATAACTCGAGTAAAATGAAAATTAAAAGAGTCAGAAAGTTAAAGAAGAAGAAGAAGTACAATCAGAACGTAAATCGAAAGAGACTGCGAAATAAGTTGCGGAAACAGCCGAATATCCCATGGTAAATTTCCTAACCTAAAAATGCAACTCGCATTTAATACAATAATACAACATTAAAGCTTATAAGTATAGCGTACCTTTAGTATCGCTTATTGTATTAATTTATTGATTACGTTTGACGTTTAGCGATCAGATAAAGAAGGAATGGGAGAACACGAGGTCTTGCCGTGTCAATTTGAAAGAAATGGGTTTGGCATACGACGCGAACGAGACGGTGCGAATTCCTAATGTGAAGCACGAGATGTTGGAGGAGGCCAAAAGGAAAGTTGCGGGAGACGAGGATCCCTCGGATCGCGAGGACGAGGGGACGGATGTGACCGCGGCAAAAAGTCACGTGGCGGAAAAGTTGGAGGCCGAGGCGAAGGCTCCTAGAGAACGACTTCTCAGATTACCGAAGGGACAAGCAGAATTCTTTGTTTATTTAATAAAGAAGTACGGCGAAGATTACGAGGTGAGATCATTTTGCAAATGATGTCATCGTTATCCCCAAACAGGTAGCTGATTATCTGCGTGTTTTCTGTACAGGCGATGTCGAGAGACAAGAAGAATCATTATCAATTAACGTGGAAGCAAATACGAGCCAAGATAAAAATGTTTATGGGAATTCCAGAACAGTATAACAAACTTGTTCAAGATAGCAGTATGCAGTTAGAGTCGTAACGTGCATAAATGTACATTAGGATTTTGTTTATATGTTTAGATTGAGATTAGCGTATATTGTAAGTCAATGACTTAAACGTACTACTGCAATTTATGCTAATTTGGTGAAACCGACAAAAATAATGCATTATACGTCAATAAATGTTAAACATATTTTATTTTTTACAAAATGTATTGTTTGCAAACAAGTACTAATTACAAATATATATTTGTAATTATATCACCATATATAAAAATATGCTGATACATTTACTGTGATAGAATATGCATTTTAAATGGACAATATGACAAAATACAATAAGTATTTTAGACTGAGGACTAGAAAATCTGAAAATTTAATTAAGTTTGCATAAATTGAGTGCGCATTAATAAATATCACGATCGAGGTAAAAAAAAACATTTTTCCTTTCGTTCAAATCAATAAAACGTGTACAATTTTTGTTGTTCAACTTACGTGGGATAGGATGATACAAAGATATACAGTAGAAACAATCTTGCTTTAATTATACAAGTATGTAAAGTATGTGACAAATAGAAAATTAGCGTTGCTGTATTATCGATGGTAAATGTCCCGTTTTCTGTTTGTACCCTGAAGAGGGGCGATGTTATCTCTGGCATCAACATTCGCAATCGCGCTGAAACTATTGGCATCGCTCGAGTAGTTATCCTTGTATCTGGAGGTCAGGTTCCGAACTCTTAGATTAGTTCAACGTCATCGCGTTTATCCCTGAAGAAACATGGGTCCAGTCTTTTGAGGATCACGAAGTTCTGTTAACGCTTTGCAAAGGTGTGCTCCGTCTCTTAGATCACTTTGTTTCTCAGACGTCCCAGACTCTCGATTTCGGTTTCAAGTACATCGCCACGCTGAAACACGCAGTCGAATAATGTAGAATACGCCGACGACGCGTCATACACATAACGAAAAATATTATAATTTAATTATTAAATATATTTAAATATTTATATATAATATATAATTAAATATATTAAATATATTCAATAATTAAATATATTAAATATATTCAATAATTAAATTATATAAATATATTTCTATTAAATATAAAGATATACCTGTAAAAATTCAGGTGGATTACGCCTGAATCCTACACCAGCCGGTGTGCCAGTAAGAATCACGTCGCCTGGTAACAATGTCATAAATCTGAAATATTAATTAACGTTATTATATAATATATTGTAATATACTATATATATTAACGCGTATCCTCAATTATATTATTAACGTGATCATCGTGTAAAATACGAACTGCGAAAGATAAGCGACTATGTCGTGAGGTTTGAAGATGAGCTCGCTGGTTTTGCAGTCCTGCTTCAGATTGCCGTTCACCCATGTCCTCACGGACAGATTGTTGATGTCGCATATCGCCTCCTTGGCGACCACGACCGGACCGAGGGGACAGAATGTGTCCATCGCTTTGCTAATCAGGAATTGTCCGCCGTTCCGCTTCTGCCAGTCGCGCGCCGTTATGTCCTGCGCCACTGTGTAACCGAAGATACAGTCCTCGACGTCGTCTTTATTCAGGCCTTTGCATCTCTTGCCGATCACTATCGCCAGCTCCGCCTCCCAGTCGATCTTCTGTAGACATTAAAAAAAAAAAATACCGATCGCGCTTTAATCGGACTGCGATCGCCCGCGACTTCCGCGACGTTCTGTATAAACGTCACATGTCGCGTTCTACTTCTTCAGAGTGTCAAGGTCAAACTGTATACATAATGAACCAACGTCGACGGCACGTGGAGCAACTGGACACGCGAGCGCGACCCGATCGGTATTCAAGCTGCGGACCCCGCGAGAAACCGCGCTGTCGCAATAGAGCGACGTGCCCACGGCTCGGGACGAATAGAAACGAAAATGAAAGCGGGGACGGGTCGTGACGTAATCCCGAACGGACTAAAAATACACGATTCCAGATCGCAAGGAGAAATCAACACGATCTTCAAGGGGGCATCCCGCGTGTTTCGTTGCTAATCGCGACCCATTGTGTTTTCCTCCTTTCTTCGCCGTTCGACTTACATCGGAGATCTGCGGCAGCAGGATGTTGTCGTGCGGCCCGATGATGTTGCTGGGAAATTTGTTAAAGACCACCGGACTCTCCGGAGTCGGTACACCTTGCTCCTGACAATGTCCGCTGTAGTTGAGGCCAATGCAGACGAGCTTGTCCATTCGCGTGACCGGCGCCAGGAAGTTTACGTCGGCCTCGGGCGTGATGCTCCGGCCCTCGGCGACTATTCTGTAACCAATTCGTGCGTATAAACTCAGTGTCTTGAAAATAGACCTCCGGAATCATCCAATCGAAGTTAATCAACTCGCACGCGAGGTGGAACCTGGTTAAATTTTCTTTTTTTTTTTCTTACCGCGACGTAAGTCTCTTATACTGAAAAACTTTGCGATGTTAAACAGAGAGGCGAGAGGAAACAGACAGCCGAGAGCAGGAAGAGAGAAAATTCGGTTGTATTCGCATGCAGAAATGCGTTCTGCATTTCCCGTTTCATGCACAATCTTGTTAATTATGGTAATCGGTAAGCAACATGCGGATCTGCAGGCAACAAACGGGCTTTCATAGGAAATCCGACTTGCGGCAGTGCAGAGAGCATGCCGTAATGACGCCATTAATTACTCCTGTGTCTAAATCTCATCAATTACCCCTGCGTCCAATATCTCGCTAATAATTCCGCGTGCTGCTAATCGATGCGTGTAAATCGAGCATGATTTACATTTCTGTTGCGTTTCTGTTTGCGTTCACCGTACCGCCGGGTTTCCAGTTTAATTGCAACCGCAACATGCGCCCGTAGTTTTTGCAACTGTTTTCCTTATCGATTTACGACGTTTCGCGGATACGAAATTACATAACAGGAGCATTGCGTGCTAAACTTTAAGTTCTCGTGAAATATGACGTGTAATATAAAATGATATTGTTTAACTTAAATATTTACATTGATGCGTCTTTTGCACACTTTTCTCCTATAGTATTTACATCAAAATTCGCGACTTTTTTTAAGCGTCCAAGACGTTCACAATTTTGCATAATTAAGTACATACTCGAATAACGTTTGACACATTCTAACGTTGTGGTTGAACACATTCCATGCTATTCTAACACTTAGCTCCTAGCACTTAGCGGATAATTGCTTCTTCTTCCACTTTTCAAAGGAATGGCGCTCTTGCAAAAAAGTTTACAGAGGGAAGGCTTTACTAATTTACAATAAAAGACGATGAATAATTTATAAGTATAATGTACACTCGCTCACTAAAAGGTTGCGACACTTTCTTTTTTATAGGTTTCAAAACGTATTAATATTTTGCAAATGCGGACCACGATTGGTGTTATATTGCTTTTAGACTAAAGATAGTAGATCGTGATTGCATTTGCAAAATATTAGTTATCTATAAAGTATATATTACGTATATTAAATATAAATTAGAAACCTATAAAAAAAAAAGTGTCGCAACCTTTTAGTGAGTGAGTGTACACTATACTGTTCTTATGACTTATTAGTCGCAACATAAATGTCATACAACATACTGCATGCAGTAACTTTTAACATGGCTTACTACATTGTCGTACCATAATATGAAAAGTGTAGAAAAATGTATGATTTTAACAGAAAGAGATACTATAATATCTCACTTTTATAAATAAAATGAAGTTGTGGAGGAACGTTCGTGCGCCTGTTTTTCTGACATGCGCGAACTATAACAATGAACGAAAGCGATATAATTGCATAGATGAATGTTCTATTGGTGAATCGATTATCATTTTTATCATTTTGTCCCCGTTCGATAGCCGAGCGTTGTCATCTGGCGCGATTAATGAACTAAATTTGAAAATACATGTATGGAAATATATTTCGTACGATCGGGCAGATAAATAGGCGCCCCTCTCCATTCATCGGATCGTGCTGCTTTCACTTAAAAAATTTCAACCGTCCCAAAGAAGCTTGGCAGACTGCCAATTGGCAGCCGGGACGAGGCGCCGTCTTGAGTTAGTATTAACAGCTGCGTCTGATCGAGAAGTTGCATTGATAAGGCTCAATTGTTGAATTGTCGCGCGATGCGACGCGTTATGCGAAAGCTCAAAAGCTCTCTCAATGACAAACGAGACCACGGATGCAATCGATAGGGGCGGTGTATTTGCCAAGACTTAGTCGAGATCGATAAGTCGAATAACAGGAAACGTGCAGTGCACGATTTATAAATATTATATGGTGACGTGACAGATAGCAATCTTCCGCTAATGAACCGCGAGAGCACTTATGTAATTATATATTCGTCACGCAACACGTCCGGTTTTTTTGTTGGTCAATTGTTACGCTCAGGGACGGTATACAGATCGGTAATAAGTTCTCGAGCATATTTGTAAATGGCTGCCATTCAATCAGCCTTCATTCGGAAGCTTAATAAAGATAATAACTTGATTTGGAAGGGAACAGGATGTCCGTCATCAAATTATTGATAAGGTGATAGCTATCTTATTTGTATAGGATTAAAATTCCGTCGTTGCGCAATCGTCATACGATTGATTACATCATAGCGTGCATATACTGCTCTCGAGTTTCAAAATCATATCTTCCGTTGTTACAAAATATCGCGCAGAAAATTACTTAACACGAATTTATATCTTTTTTTTTCATTCGCCGAGAGAAAAAATTATTGTGTGCTTTCATTTTTTAACTTTTTATAAAAATTTCATCGCAAATATACATATAACAATTCACAATTTACAGTTAGTTTAACATCTGTTAATGGTACGAGTGGAAAGTTCTAGAATGTAAAATTAGATATAAAATCAATAAACTTGATAAGGCTGATTGATAACAATCGAAAAAAAGCGATTCGATTAACAAAGGTGTGGCTTTCTGATCTATAAATGGCTAAATGAGGATCAACGGCATCTTACACATGTGTACGTGGGCGAAGAACAAATAACTAGTCTAAAGTCTAAAGGAAAGAAAAAAGGGGGAGCTACTCTATCACACGAATCGAATGGCCTAAAGCACCAACCTCTCTACTGCCTTCCTTAGGTCGAAATCGTCATTCCTGGCGAAACAAATGTTTACGTTGAGATTGGATATTTTTTTTCTCGCATCCGTTATAATATCATGCTATATGTACTATAAAATCTAGAATCCTAGATTCAAGAGAAAAAAAATAACTCGTAAAATATTCCCAAGATTGAACTTTTAATTATTATCTCTCCAATCAGAAGACGTATTTAATTCCAAAAGATTTCTAACTAGAAGTTGGCATAAAAGAAGGTAATTGAGGATAATCACGGTATCAAAGAGCTATGATTGCTATGATCTTGTTGCTTATCTAACTTCAAACGACTTTCTAGTCGTAAATCGCTTTTTTAATTTGGCGAGAAGTAACTGATACGCGCCATCACGTTAGGCGATTGCAGATCGCGTCGAGTAAAAATATTATGGTGTATACATACGATCGTTATCTCTCGCGCGCAGAATGAAATTAACCCGTAAAGAACACCTCTCTTTTGAATGGTTTTGTTTAACACGAAATTTGAAAACAATTACGTTTTTTTTTTTTGGAAAATTTAATATTACCAATCGATTGGTCA